TAGAAGCTAGGACAAGACCAAAGCCCTGTTTCTCTCTATGGCCGACCACCTAAGGAAGCTGGCCGACCAGCTTTTTTCATTGGAGACCAAAGGGTGGTCGGCCTACCAGAAAAGGTGGTCGGCCGACCACCTAGTTTGGCAACCACCTTCCTCTGCCACTCCTCCTGGAGTTATGTTGTTGGGGCTCCAGATCTGCCATAGGAGGGACAGAGGGTAATCCTTCACGCCTTGCGCCCCCCTCTGGAGTTAGTCCGTCGACGGCGGACTGTGGTTGGTCTTCAATGTGTGCCATTGAATGAGAAAAGGAGAAGCTTAGTCAAGAGGTTTTTTGTTCTTGTCTGTTCTTCCCACAGACGGCGCCAATTGTACGGGGAGGAAATAATTCTCCTCGTATAATCCTGTTGACCAAGTCCACGCTCCTCCGTACGACGTCGCTTTGTCACCTGAAAACACAAACGTGAGCTAGCCGGCGGGTGTGTGCCGGAAACCTCTCCGATGCCTAAGTCAGAAAACTTGACGAATAAACAAAGCTCTAAGTTCTCAGAAAGAATTGTGTTCAATTACCTCCTCCAAGGTGATGCTTGTGAGCTTTTATAAGTTTCCCGTGGCACAATCCTAGTAGGACTTGTACTTCTCCATGCAGAGTCCTCCTAGGATTCATTCTCCTAAGGATAATGCTTATCCTTTTACACCCTCCCCCACTGCTTAAACCAAGTGGGATGGTTTTCTTTATGGCCGAACTTCCATCTGACCGAAGTAAAATCGGCTATACCGAGCCACAGAGGGCCGAACCATCCTTAGCTCGGTCTTCTCCTCTAACTCCTTACTTCGGCTGCCCCTGTTCATATCCTTAGCTCGGTCTTCTCCTCTAACTCATTACTTCGGTTGTTCTGTTCAACCTTGACGTACTTAGATCAAACTTCCAAGTGACAAGTTCTGACCGACCTAACCATTGTAAGTCACGATCGGACTAACTCCGAAACCGGCCTTCTCAGAACATACTGTGACCGGACTAACTCTGAGACCGGCCTAACTGTGAGTTGCCTAAAGACCGGAGTAGTTTTACTCTTCCTTGGGCCGAAGTAAATATCTCTTCTTGAGCCGGAGTAATTTCACCTCCTTGGGTCGAAGTAACTTTGTCTTCCCAAGGCCGGAGTAACTTTGTCTTTCTGGGCCGGAGTATCTATTGCGGCCTTCTTACTTAGTCCTTCGCGTTTTGGGCCTCAATGCCCAACTCAACTCGCAGCTCGGCCCAATTTTCCCAAAAATTACCCTCTCAAGTGATTATAAGATATGTGATTTTGGTTATGAGCAAAGTAGTATTAAAGAGTGTTTGGTTATGCTATATGTGTTAGTGATTATGAGATATGAGATATTGGTTATGATCAAAGTGGTGTAGTTATGAGCAAAAAGGTTGTTAGTTATGAGATATATGATTAGTAGTTATGAGATATGTGATGTTGGCTATAATTCAAAGGGGTTGGTTATGAGATGTGGTTATGATTCATGTGGGTAATAGTTATGAGATATGTGATCAATGGTTATGAGATATGTGATATTGGTTATGAGCAAAATTGTATGGTTATGAGCAAAATGGTGTTAGTTATGAGATATGTGACTAATGGTTATGAGATATGTGATATGTGATATTGGTTATGAAAAAAATGTATTGGTTATGAGATATGTGATTAATGGTAATGAGATATGTGATGTTGGTTATGAAATATGTGACTAGTGGTTATGAGATATGTGATGTTAGGACCCCTAAACTCCTCTGATTTTCTTTGCCCTCTTTTTGGTAACCGGTTACACCGGTTGCCAATTCAAAATTAAATTATTAAAATAATTTAGTTATGTGGTAGTTATGAGATAATATGGTATGTATGATAACTAAATATAACTAAATTATGAGTTAATATGATAATAGTTATGATCTATATGATATTAGTTATAATATAAAATCATATATCTTCATAACTGATGTATACTTGAATCATGCATTGGACTCTACAAATAGAACCTATACTTTCATCACTTTACAATTTTATTTCTTACTCATTATTTTTATAGCTTATTAGGTAAAAATAACTTAAATAAATTTTTTTTAAAATTGATTATTTAGATGTTAAGGAAAGAGTATATTTAATTTTTACTTTCTAATTATCGTATCTTAATTTCAGAAAAAGCTCTATCAAAGAGGCCATTAGCTTGCATGCTTAATTTTAGGTAGGAGATGGAGTTAGCTGGTTCAAACAAACAGGGTTGGTGTGGTGACACCAAGATAGTGACTCCTAAGGAGAGAGTACAGTGTCAGCATCCATATTTTTCAGCACAAAAAGCAACTTCACATATCATTTGCTCAGACAATCTAATTGATGGCCCAATAATATATATAATACAGTCAAACCTTTCACTGTTCACATTTGCATTGGAACCAACTAAAATGACTAAAACACCCATCAGTTTTGGGACTGCTTATTACAGCCAAAAATAGCAGAGAGAGATATGCTATTGTTACAAAGAAAAATAAAATAGAAAAAAAATGGAGATCAAAGAGGAGTGGAGATGGGGAAAGCAAATAAAACAAAGCAAAACAGAACTAAAAAGGAAACATTAATTTATGTTGTAAACTGAGATTGTCGATTTTTTATCTGCAATAATATCCTTGATCCCTAAAACTTAAGCTGTATAAATCAGCCTCAACCATTACTGAATTGGAGGATTACACACACAAACAAATATATGTATATATAAAGTGTACAACCGAGAAAATGAAACTTTGTCACATCTTTTTTTTCTTTCTGAAAACTGTCAAAATACCCATTTCAGATCTAACTGTTTCAAACTTAATAACAGTCATAATCTGTCTAACTGCTTCACAAATACATATTATGTGCCCAGACCTCTAATATATATAATTGCCACAACACATATGTATTGTTTGCTAGTGATGAAACCACTAATTCAAGTGAAAGGTATTGGGTTGTTTAGCTTGAGCAAGCATCTGGACAACTTCCTTCATGGTTGGTCTCTCTACACTGCGCTCATGAACACACAACATTGCAACAAAGAAGACTTGCATTGCTTCTTCTAATGGAACATTTTTCAGTCTCTCATCTAGGATCTTTACCACCCCTTCTCTGTTCCAATTCGTTTCGATCTTGGTCCATTGAACGATGTCCAACCCTTCTTCTCCGAAATCACCCACTGGTCTTCGGCCTGTTATGAGCTCTAGAAGTACCACCCCAAAGCTGTAAACGTCACTTTTTTCATCTACTTTCAATGTGTATGCATACTCTGTCACATGATCAAGGCATAGATTTTAGATTAAGACTTACTATTAGCTAAAATAGCAGTAGGAAGTAACATTAGTCTGTATTAAGAACTACTAGTTTTTCCAAAAGGAAAGTTACAACTGTGTGAATAAAAGGAAGTAATTTAGCTTTATGTCTGTATTGCATACAGAAGTTTCTCTTTATAGGGCTTAGGTAAAGTAAAGCTTATTAGATCCCAATCAGGATTCTTCATGGGTTATGCTTTGGATTCATGTTCTTTTTCTTTCTTCTTCTTCTTTTTTTTTTTTTTTTTTGTGGTTAAAAAGAGTCTTGAGTCAAAAAAGGTGTTTCTGATTATGGTTTCCAAGAAAAGAAAAAGTTTACTACCCATAAATATGAGAGAGCAAAAGAAAATGCTAAAGTAGAATTTTTCTTTACGTTAGTGGTGGTGGTGTTAGTGTTACCCTTCTTGGACTCAACATGACTCTGAAGAACAAAATCAAACTCAGAATCAGTGATTCTAACCATGACTCTGGTGACTGAGTAAAGCAAAAAATCAAAGTGAAAAGAATGTTTGATAATTAGTAGCACAAAAGTTCTTTTTTATTTTTTAATAATTAATGGCACAAAAGTTCTTAAGACAAAAGGATCTGCTTAAAACTGAGAATTTTTTTTTTTTTTAACTTCCAAATGTTTGATTTATGCTCGGTTTGTTTTGGAAAAAAATTACCTGGAGCAATATATCCATATGAACCAGCAATTGCAGACATGCACTCTGAAGTTCCAGTGTCCTGCAAGAACTTGGCTAGTCCAAAATCAGCAACATGAGCTTCAAACTCTGAGTCCAGCAATATATTGTTTGACTTCACATCTCTATGAATTATCAATGGACTACAATCATGGTGCAAGTAACTCAGCCCTTTCGCTGCCTCCACCGCTATTTTCACCCTCGTCTCCCACCTCAGATACGCTCCTCTCTTCCCATGAAGCACCTCCCCTAAACTCCCATTTGGCAGGTACTCGTAAACCAGCAAATTAGTCTCTCTGTTCGAACAAAATCCCAGCAATCGAACAATATTCCTATGTCGAATCTGACCCAGTGTTTGAATCTCCGCGGAGAGACCATTGTCATGAGACGAGCCTTTCCCTATCCCCAGCAGCTTCTTCACTGCCACTTCCTCTCCGTTTGGCATTGTTCCTCTGTAAACAATCCCCGCTCCACCTTTCCCGATCACGTTGTTGTCTTTCAAGCATTCCAATATGTCCTTGCTTCCAAATCCGAGTTTTTGAAACGCTGTCAGCTTCCATGAATTCGGATTCTTTCGTGACTTTCGGGATTTGACGATTGCCAATACAGCAAACAATAATGAACATGCTAGAAGTCCCAGAGCGAAAACGAGCTTGTATTTTCCAGAGACTTTTGATTTTTTGTCGTTTTGGTCGATGACTTGTGGCAGTGGGGTTGATGAATCGTTGCACGGGTTTGAGTATGATCCGCAGAGAAGAGGGTTGCCGACAAAGGAAGTTGAATTGAAGACTGAATATTGTCCGGTTTGGGGTATCGAGCCAGAGAAGTTGTTGTGGGAGAAATCTGCTGATGTTAGGCTCTTCATGGACCCAATTTCCTTGGGAAGGCTCTGGTTCAATTGGTTCCAAGAAATGTTGAGATAATTCAGTATATGAATTTGAGAAATTTGAACTGATATTGGACCTGAGAGTTGGTTTTGGCTCAAATCCAAGTAAGTTAGCAAGAGACAATTACCAATCTCAGGAGGAATTCCACCAGAGAAATTGTTTCTGCTCATATCTAACTTTAAAATGTTCTTCAACCGCCCTGTATCGGATGGAATTTCTCCTGTGAATCGGTTCCCATTCAACAGAAGAATATTCAAGCTTGAGAAATTTCCAATAGAACTAGGAAGGGAACCCGATAAGCGATTATTCGATAGATTCAGCTGGGTAAGTTTTGAAGCCACCTTGCTTCTCTCTTCCTCAAATTGTCCAGTGAGGTAATTGTTATGCAATTCCATGAGTGACAGCTCAGGCAAGTACAAAAACCCGTTTGGTATCGACCCATTCAGATAATTCTGCCCCAGCCTAACTCTCGAGAGTGAATCGCATTTTCCCAAGTCATCGGGTAGAGGCCCAAACAAAAAATTGTTGAGCAGGATCAAGATTTTTAGCTTCCTTCCAGAACAAAGAAATTTGGGCAGTAATCCAGTGAGCTTATTAGTCGAAAGATCGAGTTCTATCAATTTACCGTTCTGTCCAAGCTCCGATGGGATTGAACCGATGAAATTGTTTTGCCAGAGGTTCAGGACTTCCAAATTGGGCAGCTCGGCGATGGCTCGAGGAATCTCCCCATGAAACTTGTTGATGAACAGGTTCAAGAGGGTGAGCTCGTGGAGGGCCACAAACTCGACTGGGATTTCGCCTGTGAGTCCGTTGATCGAAAGATCAAGAGTCTTTAAGCTTGTTAGATTGCCTAACTGGGCAGGGATTGAACCGGAAAGTTGATTTGTTTGTAGAAACAAAGTGTCAAGATTGTTAAGATTTCCCAATTCGGGTGGAATCGGACCTTTCAAGCCGCAACTGGAAAGGTCTAGATGAACCAAGTTGATCAGATTACCAAGCTCAGATGGGATTCCACCTTCAAACTGATTGAAGTAACCCAATTGAAGCTTCTTCAGATTAGTAAGGTTGCCAAGCTGACTGGGTATGAAACCAACCAAATCGTTCCCCGCGAGGGAGAGAAAATCGAGCTTTTCCAGGCTTCCATAGCTAGGTGGGATTTCCCCGGAAAAGTAATTCCCGCCAAAATCCAAATGCATCAGATTCCGAAGCTCGGTGACGCCCAATGGAAGCGAGCCAGAGAAGGCGTTGTTGTAAGCATCGAGCACCAACAGCTCTTTCAACAGAGAGAATTGCCAGTTCAGACTTCCATTGAACATGTTGTTTGAAATGTTGAGGAATTGAAGGCTTCTTAGCTTGTGAATTCGAGGTGGGAAAGTTCCGGAGAAACTGTTCCCGGAGAGAGAAAGATTCACGAGGGTGCGAAGATCGGTGATGGCAGGGGAAACAGAGCCGGAGATGTTGTAATTAGATATGTCGAGCGAAACAATTGATCTGTTGTTGGTATCACATTTGATGCCAGTCCAAGAACAGAGAGACATGTAATTTGAGACATTCCAGGTATTCAGACAAGAGATTGGAGGTTCAAATGATTGTTTGAGAGAAACAAGGATTGAAGCTTGCCTTTTAAGATACAGATTGTGCAGAGGAATTGAATGAGAAGGTGTGAGGAAGATGAAGAGGAGAGAGAAGATGAAGAGAAGCCTCATAATAGGTTCAGAAGCAGCCATTAATGGAAGATTTGTTGAACTCAGAAGGTGGTGATTTTAAAGAATTCAACTGAGCTGCCAGAGACACAGAGGAAGAGAGAGAGAGAAAGAGAGAGTCTTTGGATGCTTTTGATATGGGAATGGCATTGGGTATAATTTCTTTTTTAAAATTGCTTTTGGTTTATGACTGTGTATTGATTGTGGATTCATCTTTAGCTTTATCAAGAAAAGCAAAAGCAGAGTTTGTGCATAAAGATGCATATTCCAGCAGACCGTTGGATCAACCAAAAATTCAGAAATCTGTTACTTTTAACTTGAAATTACTTTCATACCCATTGGGTCCTTCCCTTATTGCTAAATTTACCAAGGCATAAGCAATTACTCAGAAATTGAAGTGTCAATACTTGTTGATCTTCTTGATCCAAATTCCAGTACTGGAGGACTCAATGAAGCAGATGTTACATCAATCTAGATTATTTTAGAACACTGTCAAATGTTTACAATTACTAGTAATTTGAAAAAATCAAACAAATACAACACAATATGGTTCAATAATGCACCTACATCTATGGATGAGAGAGATCAAATCCATTATGTACAATAAAGATGATAAAGTTTTGAACATCTAAACTCAACTAGTCTCCAACGATGTCGCACTCTCTCACTGACGACCTCAGCCCTCTACCTCCGTAACAAGTCCCTTACAAATTTGGATATGCAGTGGCTCTGTTTTGGCAAACTTATAGGTTGCTTCTAGTTTTTTTTTTTTTTTTAAAATATTTTGAAAGCCTTTGTCAGAATATTTAGTGTAATTTATATTTAAAGCTTATTAGACAAAAATAACTTAAATAAATTGAAAAATAAAATAAAATTGGATAGTCTAAAAGTTGAGGGACAAGGCAAGTGATTTTAATTTTTACTCTCTAATTATTTTGAACTTGACAAAAGTTACACCCTATGAACTCGATAAAAATATAAGACAACTCATAACACAATAAACTTAGGCCTCGTTTCGAAACATGTTATTTTAGTAACTTTTTTATTTTCAGGCTAAAATATAAGGTAAAAAAAACTTGTATGTTTGGAATGACTTTTTAGTTTTTTTACGAAAAAATGTGTAAAAAATAAAGAGAAAATGAAATCTTTGACTTTTTAGTATAGGTTATAGGTTTTTTGGTTTTTTAATAAGTTTTTGACTTTTAAGTTAAATTATTACTTCCCAAACAAGACCTTAGTTCAATATTAAATCAGCCTAGGCATGCAATGTAGAGTGCTCTTTTTAAGTCTTTGTTCTTTCGTTTTTTTCTTTTTCCTTTTTCATGCAGATAGATAGGCCTTTGGTCCAAGAGATCATCTTTCTTTTGTTGTTTGCATAGAAATAACTACTGGCAATTGAGGAGCCCTGACCTCTCACTTTAGACCACTGCACAGAAAAGGGAAAAGCTAAGCATTTTAAACGATACATGTTTTTGAAAAATTAATATCATGTGTAAATTTTTAATAATTTTAACACAAGATCACTTTCTATACTGCCACACATAGGGCAATAGAAAGCTACGAAAAAAATAGTATATTATTTTTTAATTTGGTCAATGATTTGAGACTGTTGGAAAAGCAAAAGGTTTTACTTTAGTGTAGGTTTACATTGCCTTTAAACGTGATTATTCAAGTAGTGTTTGATTCACTTATATGAAAATATTTTCACATTTAATTTATTAAAAAATAAATAAAAATACATTTTAAATAGAATTATTATTGACTATTGTAACAGTAAAAATATTTATTTTCACCTTTAATTTATTAAAAAATAAACAAAAATACATATCAAATAGAATTATTATTGACAATACAATTGTAATAGAATGATGACTTCATATAGAAAATAATGAATAATCTTTCCATCTTAATTTAGTTAACTAAAAAATAGAGGGACTTCATTCATCATTTAGAACCTCAAAACAAAGAGTCTTTGCTAGTTCGTTATTCAAGTTTTTTGTTTTTATTTTTTATCGGCAAAACTAAGATTCATGGATAAAATAACGTGATCAACACATATAAGATAGCTGCGATTAGAATAGCAAAAAGGACGAAAAAAATACTCGATCCGATTTACCAAACCAACTGAAGAAAAATAGAGTGTTGACAAGGATTCAACACACCATTCCATCCTATCAACCCAACAATTAAATTAAAAAAACCCATCTAAAACTGTCTAACACTTACCCATTCCATTTTTTCAATGTGAAATTTCTAACACTCTCAATGTTGTCCATAAAATCATGCACAGAAAAGCATCCAACTTCAACCCACAATGCCGCATTCATTTTGATTCTTTCGCAAAGAGCATCTCCATCGAAACTTTTTGAGCGAAACACCAATGCATTCTGTTCCAGCCACAGATTCTAATACGACAACAAGACATCAACATGGTGTGCATCCATCCCACCATGGGTTGGTCAGCAACATAAAATCAATTGAAACTTGGGGTTAAAGTGGAGGCCCCACCAACTTGTTTCAAAATGGTTATTCAAGCTGAGACCAAGTGTGATTACCTTTCTCTTTGTTGCAATTAGCTTTACAGTGAAGTTTGTTACATTTATGCGATGTGTTTGGGAAATAACAGTTGAATATATGCATTTGTGATTAGTAGAAAGTACCACACCCTCCCAACATGCAATAATTTTTCATGTTTGGGAATCTATACGAGTTAAATTTGAATGAAATGAGAAATGAGAAATTAGAAAATGTGAGACAAATGTGAATGAAATATAAAAAAAAAAAAATTTCTTTTTCTTTTTCTTTTTAGATCCTTATCCAATTTCATGATTCAAATACTGCGTAAATCTCTTTTTTTTGTTTGAGGAAAAGAAAACAAAGAAGATGGGGCTGCCAGGTTTGCTGCCGTGTGAAATGATGAATGGAAAATGTTGGTGAGGGTCCAGAAGGGAACAATTTTTTTGAATTGAATTAATGGCAATGTGAATCATGAGATATACACTCAATTCAACTTGGAGATGTAGAGTTTATTATATATAAGTGTTTCCATAGCACTAACTATACAATGTGATGATGACCGAGTGTTTATAAGAAGACAATCCATTATTATGCAAGGAATCTTCTTTGGTCCTTCTCTTAGGAATAAAAAGTTCAAAAATTAGGTGATACCTTTCCAGGTTTAGCAGCTACCTAGTGAGAGCAGCACCACTTGAGATTTAATTATCTTCATACTTCTTAAAACTCAATTTCGCAGACTCTACAGGATTCATAACGATGATTCAAACCGCTTACCTTGTACTCATCAAAGAGAAGAACATATATGTAAAAAATTAAATTAATTGGACAACAATAAGCATACTAACTCATCGAATTTTGTTTTATAAAATAAACGTTTTTGTTTAAAATTATATTTACAATTCATTTCATAAAATAAAATATGATTAGTTAATGTGTAGATATCAATATCCCACCAAACTACTTTTTTGCATATATACACTGTTTTTCAAGATTTACGAAATAAACGATTCAGATAACAGTTCCGTAGAACTCACAAAGTGAAGTCTTGAGGCGTATGGAAAAGATGGAGTCTTGAGAGGAGCAGCTCTCACTAGCTAGTAGGGTGCATCCCATACATTTTTCAGATAAATGTCTATCTTGAAGGGCATCTGATCACGTTTTGAGATTTTTGTATTTTGAGATTTTTTTATGATTTTACGGTTGATAATACATTGGTATTGTTCCTTTCCACTGTACCAAAAAAAAAAAAAAAAATACATTGGGATAGAAAATTTTAAGGATAAAAATCACTCACCGATCTTGGATCACAAAATTCAGAAACTCTTCTTGTGATATTTTCAAATTCGTAGCTCATGCAAATGGTTCTCGAAAAAGAGAGATGGAAACAGAACACAAAATGTCCTAAGATATGGATTCCTAACCCACAAAAGAAAAAAGGCGACCACTGAGTACTTGAGCTGATTGTCTTAAATTAAAAAACAAAAAAAGTCCCTAGATATAAATATTAGCCTTGATTCACCAAATGTATCCTAGTTAAAGCTGCTTTGACATTTTCTTTTATCTCTTTATAGTTCTGGAGAAACCAATCAGCTTCCTCTAGTGTGAAAGTTGCTGATGTCTTTCCTTAGAATTGTCACATTGTAGTTGGTGGTGGTGCCTAATCAAATCTACTGACAGGATAACGGTATGGATCCTCAAGCTTCAACATTTACAGACTCTATCTCTCTCTCCCCCTTTATACAAAGCTACCTCCTGATGTGACTCCCACTCCAATCTCAAATCCTTTTTCTCAAAGTTCAACAATAATTGCAACAAGATTTAAGATATGAGAGCCAATGCAAATGCAACCCCCACTCCCCTTTGGTTTTGGATAATGTTGGAGATGTGTCTAAGTCTTAATAGACCATCTAAGTTGTAATAATTTATAATTAATGTAAAACATATGAGATAAGATAACAAATAAATGAGTAAAAATGAACCTTAAGAGTAATATTTTAATTATATATATATATATACATATTAATATTTTTGATAAATATAATTAGGGCAATGGTCGAGGAGAACGGAATGGGAGAAGCAAACTCATTTCCACCTCACTTTCTCATTTGGGTGGAAAAATCCACCTGGAATAGGAGTGTGGAGGCGAAGCAGAATAGGCAAAAAAAAAGAAAAAACTAAATACATTTAATGTGGCTAGGATGTTGTAATCACTTTTTAATGTAAAATGAAAATTAAATTTATTTGTATACTAATTTCTAATTTAAAATAAAAAATAAAGCAATGATGTCAAAGATCCCCGCTTAATCTATATTTGGTAAACTATGAGAGAAAATAAAATAATGATTATATAAGTTATGAAAAATAATAATAATTGTGATTTTACTTCCTCTTATTTTGATAAATAAGAGAGAAAACAAAATAAAAGATATTAATTTTTCTCTTGTTTTATTTGGTTAACCTATATAAAAAGAAAAATTAGTGAAATATCACTCTTTAACTTTGGGTAGTAAGAGAGATCCAATATATTTTTATTTAGGATTTGGCTTCCGTCCAGTCCAATGTTGGGCCCGTGGAGGCCATCACGGGTCCCGTTTTGATAATCTAAACCGTTCAATATGTAAAACTTGTCAAATACTATATAAACCAAACCAAACCAAGCCTTAAGTCCCAT